TTATTTTGGTCTTAGCAACACAAATCTGACTAACATAGAAATTAGTACTAAGAAGTAAGGCCATTACTATGACTAACCTGACCATCACGTGGTTCAGAACACTTTGGAAACGTTTATAGGAAGAGTCTGGAAAATTTGGAGATGTGGGCTGCAGAAGCTTTAAAATGTTGTAAGCAGAGCTTAATTGATAAATCTACTGGGTGTGCAGAAGACAAGAATGCCAACCAAAATGCAGACAGTAAAGCTTTTGCTTAGGAGGTTTCAGAGGGGAAGGAGGATTCTACTGGGCATAGACTAGAGGCCATTCATTTCACGTTTTGTTAAAGAACTTCTCTACATTTGCCCATGTCCTGAGATTTTTGTGTGAGGCTGAATGTAAAAGCAGTGGAAGCAGCTGACCATGAACTGAATCTTTGATACTCTGAGCCAAAATAAACTTTTCCTCCTCCAAGTTGATCTTGTTGGATACTTTGGTCACAGCAATGAAAAGCTAACACAAAAGAAAAAGAAATAGAGGAAGAAAGAGAGAAAGAAAGAAAAACATGAGCATGGAAAGAAACACAGTATAAAACACTGCTCTAAATGAAATATTGTGAGAGATCTCAAGTCTCACATGCTATTCAAATAGCAAAAGGATGCTAGGGACTTTTAAATTTCATCTTATAATTTTCTATAGCTATACAGGGTCAAAGGGGAAGAATATACTTTAGGTAAAAAAAATCACCTCTTTTTTGGCCTATGCAACATATGTACACATAACCATGTATCTGAAATTATTTAAAAATTATTTATATGGAATTAACATTTACAATACAACTGAAATATAATACTGGCATGGATTATTTGATGACTGAAACTGATTTGGGGGTATATTTTGACAAAAATTTTTGTTTTTGTAATAGATAAAGGTATGGATGGATGGGGAGTTAATGGGTTAAGGAAAAAGAATAAAGAATTGGACATTAGACAGGCTGGCAGGCTGGGAGTTTATAATAATAGAAATAGAGTTAAATTAAATGGAGAAGAATAAATGATAATAGGATTTGGTCTGGAATCAATGTAGGTATGTTAGGCAGAAAGGGATTTAATACAGGCAATTAGGTGCTTATTCAATCATTGAAGCAGGGAGGGGAAAGGGCAGGGAGGTCTGCCACTAGCTGTCAATTTTATCTCTAGTTTTCAGGGAGTCACTGTATTGTTACTATTGCTTGGGGCAAGAACCACAGGATACTACTGCTCATAGTCACAGCCACCTGCAGAACGAAGGTGGGATGTTGTTGTGCCGAGGGCCACCACAAAATTTCACATCTGCCAAAGCCCATGCATTTACTAGCTGCTGCTTGCAGGAGACAATTGTTTTCTACATTCTGTCTCATATATTCCATGTACTTTTTTTTTTCCATTGGCAAAAACTAAACTGGAATCCTGATGGCAAGAATTTCTGGGAAATGCAGTTCTCAGAATAACATTTTGAGCCCCTGAGCTTCCATGTTTTTGAAACATTCTCTTTGGGACCCCTGAGCCATTATGGAAAAACTATGTTGAGATTGGTAAACCTGTAAACCATGTGATCACAAGTACAAGTCAAGTTCAGTCTTCCATTTCTATTGAGACACCAGATTTGTAGGTTAGTCCCTCCCAACTGACCCACCCATCAGCTGAACACTACTAAATGACTTTGTCAGTGTCTCACAGAGCAGAGGAATCACCTGGCCAATCCAGGCCTGAGTATCTGAACCACAGAACTGTTAGCCATAATAAAATGGTTTTGTTGTTTTAAGACACTGAGTTTGGGCTACCTTGTTAAACAGCAGTGGATAACTGGAACAAATGTCTGAGGTAAATTGTATCTCAGTTTGTGTCAGGAGGCCTTACCTCCTCTTTTGGGTGCTCTGCTTTAGGGTGTGTTTGGCTAGGGCAACTCTACTCCATGTGTCTCTCATCTTCCTCTGGTGACTAGTAAGCTAGCTGATTCACATCCTTCTGATAGCAATGGCAAAAGGGCAAGAAAGCAAGTGGAAACACACATGTCCTAAGATCTAGGCTTGGGACTGGCACTCTTTCACAAAATGCTGTTATTATAAAAAGAAATGATATGTCCTCATCATCCATCAGTTTACTACCAATACTTGGCTGCAATCTTCAAAAGGCTTTGTGTTTGGGGAGTTTTTCACAGTTTTAAAGTGCCAACAACAGTATCCTTTAACATCTATACTTAAATTGGGAAGCAGGAACCCACAATGCAAGAGAAACTTATATGAATACAATTCATGCCCTCAGATACGGACACTGAGCACCTTCCTTGTACTTGTTGGCTCTGTCCATTCCTTTCTGTAATCTTCTGGCTTCTTGTCAGATGTGCTGTGTTCCCTTCGGTAACTTTGTTTGCCCAGCACAAATGTGTTCTACTGTCAGAGCCAGACTTTTCCCTTTTCTCTTCTTTGTCTCTCTCATTAATTTCCCAGTTCCTGTCTGCAGTAGATCACTTTTCAACAAATGGCTCAGGGTTGAGCTTCATGGAGGGTCCAACTTCCATTTTCTTTTGCAGCATCTCTGATCACTCATTAATCCCCACACAGCATGACACAGTAGGAACTACACTTCAGAGTCAAGTGGACCTATGTTTTGATGGCAGCTCCTCTGCTTCCTAACACCATCACTTGGGCGGGCCACTTAACATCTCTGTGCCTCCGTTTTATAACCAATTGTAGTGCATAATAAATCTTATCTTGCATGGTTCTTGTGTGGTATAAATGACATAACAATTAGGAAGTGCCTAGAACAATGCCTGCCGGGTTCTCAGTGTTGAGTCCTTTCCTTTCTTTCAACCCCTCTCTTGCCTGCACCCTTAGGACTAGTTTACCAAAATCCTATCACAAACTTGCTTCCAGGATCAAAAATATTTTGTAGGAATGGAAGAATAACACAGACATGTTCTATTAAGGAAAAAGGAAGGTTATTTCCCCTGTGACTTCACTTTTTACAGATACCATAGAAAATATCCTAGAGCTTTAACACTCAGCATTCTGCAAACTCCAGTGCTTCTTATAGTAAAGTGGTGAGAGAATGAAAAGCCACTAATATTTCACTTTGGGCCTTTGGCCAGATCTATTTCTTTATAGTCTCAAGATGTGGGCCTCGTTATATTTGGATGTTTACTGTGGAAAAGATTCTTAAAAGGGTTGAACTGGGTTTTACTAGGCTTCTTATTGTAGGACCCAGCACAAGGCTTCTTAGATGTTCAAATAAATGTTTGTTGAACAAATGATTGTTTTATTGAATGCAATTGTATGAGCTATTGAAAGTTCAATTACTTTGCATTTAAACAATATCCTAGTTTTTGCGGAGGCTGGTTTGACTGGCAGGTGCATTGTTAACCTTGTTTGGTGTGTTCACTTGCGCGGGGTATAGTGTTTGTAAGAGTGGGATCTGTATTTGGAGAAATGCAGCATGATGCACTGCCTTTCACATTTCCCCCTCTTTGTTTTTGTTGCTTCTCATTGCTCCTTCTTGGACTGTAGGCTCCTAAGAACAGAAACATGGGTTATGTTTGGTGTCAACATTATGTGTAATCCTGCACTGCTGGTGACATGGTTGATAGTAAGTGGATGAATATGGAAGAAGGAAGGTTAACATTTTGGATCTTTATGTGATTTGGGAGAGGAAGTGTCTTATCTTGTCTCTTCTCATCTGCTCTGATTTATATCTGTCTCCTCCATAGCTCTGTTCCATTGAGCTACCCTTGGATTTATTGTTCTTTAATCCCATCCTTATAAATGACACATGATTTGTGGAAAGGGTTTAGGGTTTGAAATTAAAGAATCCTGGATTTAAGTCCTAAATCCATAATTTACTGGCTGTGTGACCTGGACAAGGTATGTAATCCCTTGTTGGCTGCTTCCTCCTCTGTGAAGGTGAAGAAGTATGTCACCTACCTGGCATAGCTGTTTTGAGAACTGGCTGAATTGATGTAAGGCACCTTCTCATAGTAGTGACTCTATGCATAGTAGGTGTTTTTACTATCCTTATTTTCTTTCTTTCTTTTTATTCTCTTACTAATTATCTTAATTGTTTTTTCTCCTAACATATAACATGCATTTCTAACCTTGGCTGTCTGTTAGAAGCTACTAGACTTCTGGGAGTTGATGGGGGAAGGGAATACTGTGAACTATCACAATTTTACTTCATTGCAAACCTTGTATCATTTACTTTGGACATTTATAAAACCTTAATAATAATAACCACACTTTATCCCATTAGAAGAATACAAGGATAAATGTGAGTTTTCAGAAAAACTCCCCAAATTATAAAGCAAAGAATTAAAGAGTTAAATGGCATGTAAAGAATCTAAGGACATAGGATATATTCGAATTTATGATTTTTTATTGTCTCCCTCTCTGTTAATTATAATAGATTCCCAAAGAGTGCTCTCACAACCAGGACCATTATCCCTGGTAGATTTAAAGACTATTTCATCAGTATTTTTTTTTCTTGAAATAATTGAGTTTGCTGGAATAAAACATTCTGTTCAATATTTTTCATCTCTCTTTAATACAAATATATTTGATTCCTATAAATCTGAGTGAGGTCAGTCAGGAAATTACACATATTTTTTTTCCACAGGGTATATGAGCTATTAAGTCGTGTTGCATTTATTATAGATCATGTTTGCTATTTGGCAAGATAATTTGAATGATTGAGAATACTACTTTAGAACATGTAACACTGAGAAAACAACCAGAAAGGAGAACTGAAACAAAGTGTTCCTTATAATAAATACTTCAAGTAAATAAAATATTTGGTTTTGATTCAAGCACACATTTACATATAAAATATATCAACAATGTATCATTTTATATTATGCATTCTGTTCATTCTTATGGTTCACATATGCATATATTTCTCCCATATAAGTATATATTTATTTCACTTAGTCTTTTCAATTGAAACTCATATAATTTGTGTCTATTTTTTATCCTATCTTTCTTCCAGCCTCAAATATGTGGATGTTTTCTTGGATTTGGGTCATTTTAATTATTTTGGCTATTGCTGGTGTGGACACAAGAGCAAAGACCACACCATACATCAAATTTACGAAAAAATATGAAGGACAAGAGATACCCAAGGGTCTAAAGCCATCCAGTGGTTCACCTCAGGAGGAAGAAGAAAACCCCTTGATGGAAATGCCTGCAGTGGCGGCACCAACCACTGACCCCTCAGCCCTGGAGTCTGCCTTCACCACTGCCACTCTCTTTTCCTTTGAAAACCTCACTCTTGACACAGCTGATTTCTTGTTGAATTGTTGTCGTTGTTGCTCACCTATTGTGGGGCAGAAAGGAGAACCTGGAAAGACTGGAAAACCAGGTATTTGAAATATATGGGAAGCCATGTTTCTCACTTGTACATCAATGAAGAGGTGGGTCAGGGGATGGCATTGTTCTAAAGATTTTTATACTGTCATGCAGATGGTGATAGGCCTAGGGGTAAGATTGTCACAAATGCAAATGCAAATGGGTGCTGTGCTGCCCAACATGGTAACCCCTAGTCATATGTGTGGTTATTAATAAATACTGAAATTAAATATGATAAGCAATTCAGTTCCACAATCATTTCAAGTGTCTGATTACCATATGTGGCCAGTGACTACTCATTTGAACAGCACAGGTATTACAGAACATTTCTGTCACTGCAGAAAGTTCTCTTGGACTTTCTGGCTAGAGTCAAGGCAGGGATTTCTGACCTCAGTACTGGTGCTCCAGATTTCCAAGCTGAGTGCATTTATTATCTGTACAATCTTTTCATTAATGGCTGATTCAAAAAGGTAGATGAAAATTCTATTGCCTGGTAAGAATGTGTGCTGACTGATGGATTTTTTGAGTGCTATTTGTAGTTAGGATTAGAGATGGAATGCCTGTGAGGTAGAGAATGAAGTGCGGGATTCGGTTTGCTCCTCATTGAAATTCTGAAGCAATACTGTGTCCTTGCCCAGGAATTTTCTCCATTGAACACTGTGGTTATTTATTTCAAAATTGTAGATGTCTTTAATATATATGTAATGAATATACTTTCAGTTTTATTGTAATACATTTTGACTTTTACATGTCATGTAGCAGAGAGAATTCAAGGTAAAATTAAGATCAAAATGTCAATTTCAAATTCTCTCTTCCCTGAAAAGAATTAATATCGATGTTTGCTGAGTCTTGCCTGAAGAACAGAAAGTTATAAAGTCAGTAATTATACATCTTCACGGGCTTTTCATTCATTTCATCCCATTGCGGGATCTTTTAATATATATAGTCAGCATTTATTCGGGGATGGATTAAGGGGTGAAGGAGATGGGCAGTGGCCAGGGGCATCAAGATTTCAAGGTTGCTAAAACTTGCAAAATGTGATGAGTCTAAGAAAGTCATATTTACCAGAACTTTCCTAGCATCCTGTTTGGCTGGCAAGATGTTTGCGAGTGGAAACCCCAAGGGCAGGGTCAACTAGACACAACTGGTTGCTAAGCTGTCATCTAAGGCTTTGAAGTCTACAATACCAGGGCTTTTGTTTTACCCAGTCATGGATTTGACTGGGCTGTTCTTAGAGTTCAACCCCTCCTCTAATCCTATGTGACAAATATTTTGAAGATGTCAAGTTATTAGCCTGTTTTAGTCTGACAGTGCCTAAAGGCTGAAAACATTGATTCTATCATGGTCTTACCCTAGAGAAGCTTCATTACTTCTGTCAGTCTCAGTTTCCAAAATGGTAACATGTGATAACAATGATACTGACTTCACAGAATCCTCAAGAAGAAAGAGATACACACAAGAACTCATTGTGGTGCCTGGGATAAAATAAATACTCAGATAATCATTTTTATCTTTCCAGTTATCTATGGTAGGAGTATGGACCTGTCTTGTGGAATACTTGGAAGCTTATATGACAGGATACTGCTTTTGAGATTCAGAAAGAGACATATGTTCCAGATATTAGTATTTTTAAAGATATTACTTCTTCCTCTCTTCCCCTCCCCTTCACTCCTCTCCTCTCCACTCTGCTCTCCTCTCTCTCATTAGAAATCTAAGAGCAACATTGAACAAATTTGAAAAAGAAAAACAAGGCTACTAAAATCCAACCATTTCAATTCTCCTTTATTAATTTTCAGACCTTGGTCACATGAACACATAAACATGCACATTGCAAATATCACATTTTGCATTATCTGCTTTTAAAAGTCACTAGTCTAACTTTATAAACTTTCTGAATGAAAACATCTTGAAATATTCAGATATATCTAATAATCAGCAAAGGTTAAAAATTCTATTTTAAAGTTTTATCTTCTGCTTCTCTCTTTAGTTCAATTATGATTGCAGGTACTACATGTCAAGAATGGTTGGCATTTTATTTTATTTCAAATCTTTATAGAAATGTTAAAAATATCATTGCATTTTACCTGATGATTTGGTCACAGTCTAGGGAATGTTTGGTAAATCTAGAGGTTGTAGCACCTGTGAGTGCAGAACCTGGAGTCAAAATCAATTTGTGACCTTGAAGCCTCAGCTTTTCCCTTCATGTTTAGTTTCATGGTAATTATGAAAATCAAACCCAGACATACATTTTACCGGGATGAAAGAGGCAGCCTTCCTCTTCCCTGTAGCTTCATGTATAGTTATTTTTGTGTTCCCGGTGTCACCTGGGACAGCACTTTATCACATCCCTCAATAGTGTGACCACATTGAGCCTTTGGGGGGCCATGGGGAGGTGGGTATTGCACAGGGAAATGAAATTGACCATTTTGCTTGCTCCCACCTTCTCTGCTTCTTCTTTCTCCATCTCTTTCTCCTCCATGTAATCTTCTCTTTTCTAGACAGAAGAGCTTATCCATCAGCCCTTGGTTATTTGACCTTGCCTTCAGCCTTAATTTCCATTGCAAACAATTTATTAAAGGTTTTCTTCCAAACAAATACTGTATTTTTTCAAAGAGGAATTCTATTGAATATAATTTCATCCTATTCCATCAGCCTTAATTATATTAAGGTGAAGTATTATAATTTTGTTGAATGTACTTATTTATATGGTTAACTTTCAAAGAAACTGGCCTTAAATTATTCCAATTGGAAAGTGATTCATATGTCTGGAATAGGACTGGGGTTTCAGGAAGAATAATTTTCCTAGGCTTAGGATCCCTCTGTGGTCCAGGTAAGTGGAAGGGAACTGAATTGCCCTGGTGAACAAGGACACTCAATGAAGTCTGATCCTTGTGTGATCTGACCCTTGCCTGCTTCTCAGCCTCCTCTTATCCTTGACCACTGTTTCCATCCATAGTGCCCCCCTTTTTTTCAGTTGCTTAAAAATACTATGGTCTTTTTAATTCTTACTTTCTTAAAATAACTACCTGCTATTTTTTTGCTTCAGAAAATCCTAGTGCATTCATTGAGTCTTTTCTCAGGGATCTCTCCTCTGATCCCACAAATATAAGTTAGGTTCTTTTTTTACCCTATCATACAATAGGACCTTCCTATTTTTCTTTATATCATCAACTACAGTGTGGCAATTTTGATTTCTTTATATAGCTATCTATTCAATGCTTATCTTTCATGGAGTCTCAGCTTTTGGGGATTGGGATTGCTGGCATGTTAATGGCTGTGTTCCTAACACTAGCAGGGTGTGTGTGTGTGTGTGTGTGTGTGTGTGTGTGTAAGGTGCTTGGTGTATAAGACACCTCAGAAATAGTTCCTGAATGAATGAATACGTGGATGAATGGGAAATATAAAAGTGCTAGGTATTATGTTTTTGCTTCCAATTTGAAAGTGCGGTCCATATGAGTTTTAGTGTCAGGTAATTATTTTGTTCTTGCTGTTTGATGTAGTGCCGCTTCCCTGAATCATTTGATCACTGCCATGAATACAGTGACAAGTACTAATGGGCTCAATTTATCTATTCAGGTGTACAAAATTGCAAATCAGACAAAATATTGCCCTTAGAACTCTGTAATAGTTTATTCTCACCTGATTTTATGATTAGAACATTGACAGTTATTAGTTTAAAAAAAATGACTGTCCCCCTCGTCCCCTAACTAACGAATTTCAAAAGAGATTTTTTTTTTCTATATTGATCGTTTTAAACCCCTGTTTCCAGGTCTTAAAGGAGAGACTGGTAATATGGGGATCCCAGGATCACAAGGAGTCATTGGACCCCAAGGCTCAAAAGGCCAGAAAGGAGAGAAAGGTAAGTAATTAATTTCATTTCATGCCAAAACCTCAAGGGACATTTTGCATCATTTTTAAGGAGAATAATTTTCTAAGTAATTTCTTGATTCTTGAAGTTATGTCAGTTTTTAAATATTTAAGTACTTGGTAAAGTATATTGTGAATTCATTTGATATAGAATTATTATCTTTGTAAGTAGAAATTTAGAAATTTCTAATTTAGAAATTCTAAACTGGTCTGGGAACAACAGACAGACACACACACACATACACACACACACAAAAAAACCCACACACACAGAGTTACACAACTTTCCTATTTCTGATTGGACATCTGGTTGACCCAGTGACTGGAAACCACAAAGTATAGTCTCTGGGGAAGGGTGCTTTCCTACATACTCCAGGTGGGCTCTTACTTATGATGCAAATTAATTTCATAGTAAATAGAACTAAATAGAGCCGGCAATGCTCTACAATATTCAATTTAGGTGGATAGCCTGACTGCTAAGGAGAACTTGCCATCTCCAGTGACTCACTAAAAACAGAGGCAGTATTGATGGGGTGCAGAGCCATGAATTAAAACAGAAGTATTAAGCATATAATGGTGACTTTGGACCAGTGGCTTTACTTTGCCTGGAAATTGAGGGGAATGAACTTGATACTTATTTATACCCCTGTTTACTATCAAAGAAGATTTGTAGTTATGAGTGCTTTCATAGATCTTTTCCAGCTCAAAAATCCTATAATTCCATAGGTGTGTCAGTAAAGAAGGCTTTCCTGCCCCAGGAAATCCCTGGGTCTGTAAGTGCTCCAAGGTACTGAGGGAAGATTACAGATTCACTGGGACATTGAGAAATTCCTCAGTGAATAGGAGCAGCCTGTAGAAATACCATCTATTCATCAAGTTCAATGTTTGAGCTTTAGTGTCACATGTCAAAAGACCTAATATCATCTATACATCACCCTCCACATGGCTCAGGAACTGCCTAACTCATTTCTGCTAGAACATTCAGTGAAGTAATTACTCAAAAAAGACGCTAAGGTAAGAAAGAGCTACTTCACACTTGTCAGTTATGCGATTTTCATTCTCAGAAACATTTAATCCTTTTGTGGCTGAATTATGTTAGCAGAAACCCTGTGAAATAAAGATGAGTGATGAACCTCCCCAGTGATTCATATATTCTGGAAGCTAGACTTCTGGAAGTAGAAGAAAATATAGGGAAGTATCGTAAGGTTCTTAAAAATATGCTTTGATGAAGGATCAAAAGTAGAGATTCATTCAGCCAACTCTCTATAAAGTGGAAACTCTCCTTTTACTTCCAGACTTACCTTGGACTCATGGCTAAGATTGAAAGTTAAAAAAAATAAAATAAAATGAGTAGAATGGTTACATTCTGGCTAATGACTACTTGATTAATTCACTACAAGCAATGAAACCCCTTAAATAAACTTGAAAACTTAAATAACTCTGTGAGTGAAGGTCAATGTTATATTATTAGCATGGACTGGAATAGGCTTGGGCCTTCACTTCCATTCTGGTTGGGTTCTCTCAAAATGTATCTGGATATTTTCTTGATGGCCTATGAGTTAATTTCTAATTTTGTATTTTCTGTGGAGTGGTAATAGAGGAAGTGGCTACTTAGACCTCATAGGATTTCTTTAGTGGGTACTGTGAAATTAGGGGAATTTATTTACATCACTTTTAATTTGATTTAGGGTTTATTTTTTTCTGATTAAAAATAAAGCAAAATTGTTAGTCATAATATAAATAATAAAGTTGGCAAATAGATGCCAAAGAAGGTAATATACAGTCATGTTTGACTCTGTGCAAATTTTTATTTTTTTCATATCTCATGTTCTTCTGGCAAAAGTGAAAACAAAAATATTTGCTCTACCATTTTTGAAGGGGATGTGTTTTAAGCTTTGTAAATTATAAGTGTTCAAATTGATGAAATATGCTGTTATAGAGCCTTCTTGTTACATAAAAGGTAGTATTAATATTTAATAAAATTATATGAAGTTAAAAAATGTCCAGGGTAAGTTAAAAAATGTTAAGAGCTTGGAACAGTATTTGGCGCAAATTGTCAATACAAGTTAACTGTTTTTAATACTATTATTATTGCTATTGTCTTTTATAATCAAAGTGAGTCTGTGATAGACTTAACAAGATAGGACAATGCAAAATCCATTTTATTGTAACATGGCAAATATCTGCAAATCCAAATCTTTCAATGTTCTTCAAATATGATTTCTCATAGTCTTATAATTTGTCCAAAGAACATTTGAAAATTATTCCAACATGTAATGAAAATTGACTTTTCTTTCATGTTCTAAGTCAGGGATAATTTTTCATTCCTGGATGGATTTTTGTTATGACTAGTTTTAGCTAATTGCAGAATACCATGTTCTGTGCTTTACTGAGGCATGGTGGGCATATAAAGAAAACAACTGAACTGTCATTTAAAATTTATAATAAAATAAGCATAACCACATACATATGCAAGATATGCAGGATGTGATGAGGAGTTTGAGGAGTCCTGGAAATGCCATAGGCAAAATGAAGTCTATTTGAGGGATTGGCATTCACAATCGCCTTCAATAAATTCCCTTTTCACATTATTTTACCTTTAAACCATTTTGGTTAAAGGAAACACTGGAATGTGACATAGTTGTGAAAGGGATGTTTTAGATATATCATAAATGACATAGTTGGAAAAAAGTTAATCTTGGTATCATTTTAGGAGTAAAAGGAGAGCGTGGGGACCAAGGGACAAGCGGAGTTCCAGGATATCCAGGAAAACCTGGAGAACCAGGTACAATACAAAATATATAATTGTGCACCATCATGAATGCTGTAAAGCCCTCATTCTTTTCCTGTTTGTATTTAAAGTTTTCAGAGAAGTAAGATGGAAATATAAATTACTACTATTTTTCGAATAATTTAGTGTGCTGATTGAAATAGGTCTAGGAATTTAGAGATGAGGTAAAGATATCTGAGCTCTGTTCCTCTCTCTCTAGCTGTCAATTTTTTTTGGTTTTAGTTTCTATGCCTTGTAAGATTTTGGGTTTGGATAGACAATATGGAGATTTAGGAGAATACTTGAGATGGGTCAAAATACAAAGGGTAATTAAATTTATATTGTAAGCAAAAATATTTTAATATTCTTTATTATCTTAAAGGTGGAAAAAAGAAGTAGATATGTGAATTCTGGATGTAAGCTATTGTTTCTTGGAAGCACAAACTTTTCTCTTTCTGGGATTATGATATGTTATAAATTGCTCATTGCATTTATGGCTGCCAGGCACAGCCTCTGCCAGGCAAGAAGGGGTTTCCATGTCCAGGGAAGTAAATTTTATTCCTATTTTTTGAGCTCTGTGGTAATGGCATCTTGTTTGGCTTTTGTGATCCTTAAATGTTATTTTAATTTTTCATTTCAGGTGGACTTGGTCCTAAGGGGGATAAAGGAAACATTGGCTTGGCAGGAGTTAAAGGACAAAAAGGCTCAAAGGGAGACCCATGTGAAAATGGCACCAAAGGAGATAAAGGAGACACCGGGGCTGTGGGCTCTCCAGGATTGAACGGAGGGCCTGGAGCCAAAGGAGAGAAGGGGGAGGTGGGACAGAAAGGCTACTGCGGAGATTCTGGAGAGAGGGGAGGAAAAGGGCAAAAAGGGGAGGAGGGGGTAAAAGGAGAAAAAGGTAGCAAAGGAGACACTGGGACAGAAGGCAAAAGGGGCCCCGATGGTCTGCCTGGCGCTAAAGGTGATCCAGGGGTTAAAGGAGAAAAAGGGGAGTTAGGTCCTCCTGGTCTTTTGGGACCTGCTGGGCCAAAGGGTGAGCTTGGGAACAAAGGGGTCCGAGGACCTATTGGGAAGAAGGGCTCACGGGGCTTCAAGGGCTCCAAGGGCGAGGTCGCCAAACTCCTGCAGTCCGCTTTCAGCGCTGCTTTATCAAAGCCATTCCCTCCTCCCAACATCCCCATCAAATTTGACAAGATTTTATATAATGACCAAGGGGATTACAACCCTGCCACTGGGAAATTTAACTGCAGCATCCCTGGGACATACGTCTTTTCTTACCATGTTACTGTGAAGGGTCGACCTGCTCGGATCAGCCTGGTGGCCCAGAATAAGAAGCAGTTCAAGTCCAGAGACACTCTCTACGGTCAGGAAATAGACCAGGCCTCTCTCCTCATCATCCTGAAATTAAGTGCAGGAGATCAAGTGTGGCTGGAATTGTCAAAAGATTGGAATGGGGTTTATTCCAGTGCTGAGGATGACAGCATTTTTACTGGGTTCCTTTTGTACCCAGAGAAAACTCCTGGAATTTCACCATAAATTTGGGTATTGGACACTGTAGTTGGGTTTAGTGGAATAAGTATTGACATGTAGAAGTGAACTTAAAAAAAAAAAAAAAAAACTTCCATTTTTTTCATGATTAAAACAATAATACAGAAAAATTACATAATTGTGTAGATTCAATTAGTATTTCTATTCTAAGGCATCTTCTTTTAAACAATTGAGAACATATGTCTACTAACTCTGTAGCTGACATTTTTTGTTTAGCATTATAATGACATTACTTATTAATCACTCAATTACTATTTAAAGGATTAATGTCTTCATGGAAAATATGAATGAGATTTATAATTAATAAATATATTCTTCTAAATATTTCTATACCTCATATAACTGTGTGTTAATAGCTGACAAACTATCACGAAAGGTCTTTCTTGAAGTTTCTGATTCTCTTGGTGGAATTCTCATGTCAGTTTCATTCTCACATTAGTTTAATTCAGTGGAAATGCATGGAAAGAGTGGCAAAGATTATCTAAAATATGTTTAAAATTTATCATGTGTAAGGGTTTTTCCATAAAACCTGTATTATGTGGACAAGAGTGTTTGGTAAAATGGAAAAAGAACGTTGATAAAAAGATATAGCTCAATCATAGAAATGATGCAACCCTTCATCAAATTATTGTGCTTACAAGAACTGAATGTCCCTAAAAGATTAAAGAATAAAATTAAATCATTACTGATCTAAATTTCAGTTCTTTCTTCATGGTGGAACATTTAATTAGGATAAACTCTTTGGCATCATTATTATCATCTCGAGAATAATTAATTCCAGTTATTCAGTGATAACATTGCTGGAGCAGGTGGGAGATTGGGAATTCATTTGCAATGTGAATGTTTAATAACTGTGAATATTGGATAATTCAGCAGCTTCATTTTTTAAAAAAGTGAATTTATTGAATTCAAACTGAATTTTGTTCTGTGAAGGTAGATATGCAGATTTGTAAATTTTGGTGTGTCAAATGAGGGAGTGGGTGATAGGAAACTTTATGGTCTTGCTCTGCCAACTTTGGCAAACATTCACTTTTGGGATTCTCATCCATATGTATATCAGAACAGTGTTTCCCAAACTGTCCAGAGGAACACCATTTCTGGACATTGCTATTATGAATCACTTGAAAAAGTAGGTTTTGCTTCAAATACATGTTGAATGTGCTGTATTCTATATCTACCTCCTAAAGATTCATAAAGCCCATTAGTGTAGTCTCTGACATTCCCACAGAAAAGAAATCATATTAACTTTGTTTTATTCAGTGATCCCAAGTGATTGTGTATTTAGAACATATCAAGTACTAGCCTGTGGGACAATGTCCTGTAGTAGGTTAATTTTGGAAATAGTGCATTAGTTTCTCATCCAAGGATTTTTTTTTTTTAATAAGACTGAGGTGAAGTTCACTCTTGACATTTCTCTCTTCCTTTATCAGTTCTTTTCTGTTTAGGTCATGATATGACTTGAGTAGTGGCTGTGCCTGTTTCTGTCAGAAAGAGCATAACTTGCAAGTAATTAAAAAAGACATGCTTACACTGGAAATTTTCTTTGTTTTTTAAGGATTAGATAGTGAAGAGATTTAGGAACTTAGTTTGTTTCCTTGTTTGCTTCTATGTTTGATCTTTTTCTTTGTATCTTCTCCACCATTGGGTCATCCAACTCACCTAGGAAGACAGAAGAAAATAAATCACACCAAAGCATTTGACATAAAAGGCAATCAGGCAGAGAACCATTAAGAGAGCAATAATTCGTGTGTAGGTTTTGTGATATCTGACAGTGTCTTACACCTATGTTTATGGAGGATGTTTTACAGGAAGTTAGAAGTTAAGACCTCGGGGTTAGTACCCAGGATTGATGGTAATTGTGAGCTTTCCCCAGGGCATCCAAAGGAAGGAAATTGCTAGCCTGTGGGAATGGTTTTGGGAGATGAGTTCCAGGTTCTTTGACACTTTCTGCTATTAAGGTAGAGAACTGTCACAATAGAGTGTTCCCTTCTTTCAATATATCATGTCTCCTAATTGATGAAAGCAAAAGGCCAAGAGTGGATCTCGCTCATCCCAAGGATTTGAATATAATCACTTTCCTATTCCTACCTTAATGACTACTAATGGCTAAGAGTCAAACTAACATCTGAGCTTAACACAACAAAGTTGAACTTCTGAAATCCCCATAAATGTTCCTCCCATATTCTTCCTTAACTCATATAATGACAACTTCTGTCTAGTTGTTCAGGCCCAAAACTTGTGTCACTTAATTTTCCTCTTTTGAGTTAAATCTGATTTGTCAGAAAATCCTTTTAGTGCTTCTTTCAAGATGTACAGAGTTTGATGACTTCTCACATCTCCACGACCACAACCCTGATCAAGCTACATAATTTATTGCCCAGATTATTGCAAGAATATCCTAACTGGATCTCCTTAACATTTAAGAGGACCAAAATGCAAATGGGAATTGTTTTAGTTAGCTTTTCCCACTACTGTGACTAAAAGAGCTGACCAGAACAATTTTAAAGGGGGAAAAGTTTATTTGGGGGCTCATGGTTTCAGAGGGCTTAGTCCACAGAAGGCCAGCTGCATTTCTTGGGGCTCGAGGTCAGGCTGAACAATGTGGTGGGAAAGTGTGGCAGAGGGAAACAGCTCCCATTATGGTGATCAGGAAGCAGAAAGAGTGACTCCACTCTCTAAATATAAATATATATCCAAACCATGCCCTAATTCCCACCTCCTCTAGCCATACCCTACCATTTCAGTTACACTCAGTTAATCCCTATTAGGGGATTAATCTACTGATTGGGTTAAGACTCTTACAAACTAATCATTTCTCCTCTGAACCTTCTTGCACTGTCTCACACCTGAGCTTTTGAGGGATACCTCACATCCAAACCATAACAGAATCCATAAAGTATACATCTAAATATTTAAAACTTAAAAACCAAACTAACAGTAGTTTAAAATATGTTCTATACTCCTATTTTGAAATATGTGCTTTTTTATGGAAAAACATTAAAAATATTTTTAATATAACAGTAAACAAAATAGCAAAGATGTCGAGCTACTATTGTGCATGTGTGATTAATAGGCAGATTACAATTGGATAAATAGTAAGAAAAAGCTATTAATTCATGAATTACTATTGTTTATTTCATAGATATTATTTTTAAAGCTTAATTTCAGAAAAAAAATGTTATGATTTCAATTTAGAGAAATTTGTTCAGTTGAACTATTGATGCTTGGGAATGAACCTGAAATTTTATATATCATGTTCAAGTATTGTGATGGGTGTTATATAAGATATATATTTTATACAGTGTAAAAATATTAAATTTCATCACATAAACCAGTGGTTACTTATATTGCCATTTCGTTGTCTCTTAAAACAGTATTTTAAAAGCTAGATCCGTCATGGATTTTCTGTCTGGACTTACATAAATATAAATTTGAGTACCATAAATTGTTTAATATTGAATAATATCCTTTAGCTATTAAATGTGAGACTTTTTCAAATGCTATGCAACTCATGAGTATGTCATGTGCAACTCATGAGTATGTCAAGAACAATGAAGTATAACCAACAGAAAAGCAAGAAAATGACTGTTAAACATAATTGAGATGCAATACTTGATTATCTGTGGCATTTATGCTTTGCAGAAGTCCCTCTTGCTTGAATCTCTTATTTTGCTTTTGACCCCTTCAATCAAAGCAATACTGCTTTAAAATAAGTTGGCTCATCTTACTCTTCTGTTCAAAGTCTCTTGAAACTTCCACCTGAATCAGAGAAGCCAGACAGATCCTTATTATAATCAGAGAAGCCCCATGTGGGCTAGTCTCCTGCTTAATTCAGTCTTCATCTCCTTCATTTTGCCTTTGAACATGGCCCTCAGTGCCTCTCCTTAAAGTCACCATGCACCTTTGCATTCAGGAATTTGCATGTTTCATGTTGTCTAGATGGCTCTGGCCCTAGGTAACTGCACCATTTTATTTAGTTAGGCCTGAATATCACCTTTTCAGAGGCCTTCTTGGATCATTTGGTTTTAAATGGTCCCCATTAGTCCTTGTTTTGTTTTTCCTCTAGAGCACTTATCTACATTGAATGTGTTATGTGTTTCATGTATTGATCTTGTTTATTTTCAGTCTTTCCATAAACAAAAGTTCCATGAAACCAGAGATTTTTGTCTGTTAAGTAAACAGACAAAACTCTACCCTCAGTGTTGGCATATTAATATGTGTTCAATGAACGAAGATTGATAAATGTTCAAATATGATGGTTGTAAATTTTTCCACAAGGTGGTGCTCACAGATTATCTTTGCTTGGTTTCTATCTTTATTTCAAAATAAAGTAAATCAAAACAAAACATTACCATCAAACCAAACTCTCCAACCCCCCAGTCCCAATCTTTTGCAAAGCAAATAAGATAATGACTTATATTTTACAATTAAAAACCTCGTTTCATGAAAAACATGTTTCATGTTTCCTCATGTTTGGAGAGTTACACAATGTTTTTCTCCATTGGGACATAGGGCTATTAGGCATATCTATGGATACTTCTTCTGAGTGGTGGCTTAATTCTTCCTCCTTTCCCACTCTAGCCCCAGATGGGTCATCCCTAAGTCCTGGGATATAATACATTTTATAGCTGTAATTCCACTTACCAAAGACTTTCAAAGTGGAAAAAGAAGGCCAGACTTTAAGAATGCTGTAATTCTTGGAAGGACTAGGATGCAATATTAAGTACAACACAGCTGTCAATGACAGAGGTGAGAGACAGGGACATTGGGACTTATGGAGTGATAATATTTTCTGTTTCTTGAGTCCTTAATAATGTGCTAGGCATAGGGCTTTTCATGTCTAAGGTGCACCAAGTGCCGTGTACCACCTGAGGATACTGAAGCATACAGTGATTAAGCAACAAGCTAAGGGACCCCCATCTGGAAGGTGGGGGAACCCTGGATCCAGGCAGTATGAATCTAGAGGTCATATCATTCTTAACCAACAG